CAGCATTGTCAAATTCATCACATTGTATGTACAGGTAGGTAAGTTCTTTCAAGTGCCCCTGTTTATCACAAGCTCGAATAAATGCTAAGAATATGTTGCTTGAGAAACATGCCATAACTTTCTTTGCAGAAGAATATCCTCTACTATTCACATAAAAGAAATTCGCATGACTGATTTTTGTTTCTAGACTGATAATGTTTCAGCATTGAAACCCCAAATTAATTGAGGTGGAAATGGATGTGTAATGAGACTTGTCTTATGTGCTGAGATTTAGCTCATCACCCAATTAATTAGGTAGAAAACAGTTTCAGAACCTATCATTTTTTAGCCAAAATTGAAGGACACTAGAACAATGAGTTTGGATCTTTGTTTTCTCAAATAAAGCTTTGCTTGTAACTATTTCTTTTGTTATATAGTATTTCCCTAGAAATTGTTGGTTTGAGTGAACCAAATTTGGTTGGTCAGTACCTCCAAGTTAAGGTCTGCTGTTTACTTTTGTAATTCTACGTGCTAATCTACGCTGACTGTTTAAGACTAAGACTTGAGTACTATAAGTGGGTCCCAACTCTAGTAGAACTATTAATACATGTGCCTTGTCATCATGTTTTGCTTAGCGCTCGGGACCTATTTTTTTATTTTTTAGTTTGAGATATTTTGTCACATCTCTATGCTAGTATATAACTAATTTGTTCCTTCGCACGACCTTACTGTCTTGGGCTTTTTTTGTCATCTCTTTTTTGGCAAGTCTTTTTTTAGTTTTCTCTAGGTTGGTTTTTGGATTTGGTATTGCTCTACAGGTTATATGAGTTGGTTTTTTAGTTCGTCTTTGCTAGTTTTTGAGCAGGTTTACCATGTTTTATGTGTTGGTGTTCGGAGCTTTGTGTCCTTCGTGCATGTGAACTTTTTTAGCTTTATGAGTTGTAGCTGTTGTTTGGATTTTTTTTGTTATGCCCATTTATTTCTTTGCCTTTTAGTAGATCTGTTTTTTTGTTAGGCTTTACTTTTTTGGCTGTGGCAGTTATGTGTATTTGTCCTTTGCCTTGAGGGTGCTGATAACTTATATGGTTGTGTAGATTTGCATTGTTTTTTTGTTTGAGTTTGTACTTTTTTTGTTGATTTTAGTTGAGTTTTTTATTTGTGTTTTGTTTCTTTTGTGTGTACATGTGTTTGCTCGCTTTGGGGTGTGTGTGTGAGTGTCTGTGGGTGTTTGTGTGTGAGTGTCTTTTTTTGTGTGCGTACATGTGTTTGCTCACTTTGGTGTTTGTGTGTTTGTGAGTGTGTCTGTGGGTGTGGGTGTTTGTGTGTGTAGGTGTGGTTGTATGTGAGTTTTTTTTAGTGTGTGAGTGTTCTGTGTGTGGGTGCTAGCTTTGGTGTGTGTGTGTGTGTGTGAGTGTGTCTATGTGTGCTTGTGTTTGTGTGTGGGGGTGCATGTGTCTTCTGGCGCTGCTGGTGTGTGTGTGCGTTTGTGCGGTTTTGTGTGTGTGTGTCTGTGTGTTTGTTTGGCGCTCTTTCTCTGTGTGTGTGTGTGTGTGTGTGTGTGTGTGTGTGTCCATGTTTTTGTGGGTATGTGGGTGTGTGTGGGTTGTTGTTGCTACTGATTTAGCTGCTGCTGCTGCTTTTTGTCTTTCTCCTATTGAGGGCCCCAAAGCCAGTTGAATGAGTTGTAACTGTTGTTGTAGTAGTTTTTGCTACTCGCTGATGTTGCTGATTAAGCTGCTGGTGCTGATATTTGTTTTTTGCCTTTTGAGAGCCCCAAAGCCTGCTGATTGAGCTGCTATTGTTGTTTTTGCAGTTGTTGCTGCTTTCTGCTGCTGCTGATTAAGCTGCTGGTGCTGCTTTTTGTCTTTTGCCTTTTGAGGGCCTCAAAGCAAATTGATGTTGTCTAGTTTTTTCCTGAGATGTCCACTGAATTTTCTTATTTATATGTGAGATGTTTAGAGTTGATTTAAACCTCTTATATATTTTTATATTTGACTTGTTCAGTTATAGATGTGGTGATTATTGATGTGTCAGGAAGCAATAGAAGGTGTAGTTGAGCTGAATTTTTTTAGTTGTTATTTTCTGAGTTGTTTGCTAGGTTTGATGTGTTTGCTATATCTTTTTCCATGTAAACTATTTGCTGGTCCTGAAGTTGTTGTCTTGAGCTGTGGTGTTGTTCTTTATAATCTTTTTTCTGGTTGCCTGGAGCTGGGCCGTACCGACCCATATGTATTGTACATCATTAAGCCAACGTCGCTGCGCGTAGCAACTCGGGCTGACAGCCTCGCGTACGTAGGTAGGTACTGTACCTGTATACTCCTACGTGGATGTAGTTCAGATAAGCGGATGGTGTGGTCGCAGTAGTAAGTACTCGTGCTAATAATAATTAAAAACTGTAGTGTGTGTTTAAAGGATCTATCCGATCATCTTGTTCGTGAGAATGCAGGGAGGGAGGGAGCGAGTGTCGTCTCTGCTCTCCACCGGTCACCGGTCTTCCAGTTTGCGCTCCCTTTGTCTCTAGTGGTCTATAGTAACAACCTTTGCCCTGCACACTACAACGTGCTGCTATCCTAGGCCGCTTGATGACTTTGGAGAGTTTGTAGGTTATTACTATCCTTGTTTTTGCTAAAATTTGACCAGATACCTACTTGATGCCGTTTTATTTATGTTGTGCTACAGGGCTCCCTGGTGTTCTCTTTGTGCTCCCGGATTCGTATGTTAGTCCTGAGTACAAGGACTATGGAGGTAGCTTTCTTGCCTCACAGATATAGTTTTGTTTTGTGGTATCACTGTATGATTCCTCGAATCAAACTTAGGAGGCATATGTTGGTATATGTCAATGCTTGATTGCTTGTAGAAGATTTGGTCTAGCAAATTGGATGTGTTGTAAACATATCTAATTATGGAAGCATGATGAAACCTGTGCATTAATTTCAATCTTCTAATGCCTATGGATTGATATCTAGACTTTCTTTTAGCCTTACCTGAATGAGACGGGAAATTAGGTTCATTATTGAATTTGTTAGAGATATGGTTCCATTTTAATGCTGTCTCGTCAGACCAAATCTTATGCTGTTGATATTCTAGTCCATCTTAGCAAAGCTGTGAAGCCTTGTGGGCAATGCCTAGCTTTGAATGCTAATGGACAACAAGTGTCTCTCTAACGGTTCTACGCTTCAATGAAATGGGGCTCAGATCAATAGGGATGAGACACTGCAAGCTGATTTCATACCCAATCCAGAGGCTTTTATATGTTTTCTCTTCAATATTTGAACCAGTGTCCTATCTCAACCACATTGGTCTTACTGTGTTTTGTCCTTCTGCCTGTCGTTGAAATTGGTGGGCTTTCTTGCTTGTGTACATGTGTTTTGCTAGATTTGATGTTGGCATGCGCATGTGCGTTTTATTGTTGCGCTACTGTTGCATCTTGGATGTTGGAGCAGTAGTAAACTGTTGTTGCTGTTTTGCATGCATAGATAACTTATTGGGAGTGGTTGCAGCTGCAGGATGTTATGTTCAGATTGGAATGAGAAAGAGGTAGCCAGGAACCATGACCAAAGGAGTCAGAGCTTGTGATGGTAAGAGGCACAGTGACGATGAGGCTTGGGGATGGCAGGCACAGCATAGTAAGAAAAGAGAAGAACTGCAGCTGCAATATCCATCAGTTTAGTTAATCCTCGCAAGAACAAAAGCAAAAGCAAAAGCAAAAAAAAAGATGAATGTGTATGCATGTGTAGTGCAGGCATGCATCAATTTTGCTATGCTCTTTAGTCTTTACGCTTAGTTGATAACTTTTAGTTGTATTTGTTAACGGGTTTTGGATATTGTTGGATATTGTCTGGTGTTATAAAATTCTGACAGATTTTTTCTTTTTGAATCTGTCAGTTTTCCATTATGACGTGTCATCATCTCATTTGTCAAGAATTTGACAGATTTTTGGTTCAGAAATCTGTCGATAGTTGTGTAGATAGACCCTTATTTATTAGTTCCTATGCAAAGTTTTTACAAAGGCCCTGTTCGCTTGTCTTATGAGCCGTACTATTTCAGCGAACGAACAGTGTTTTCTCTCTCACAACAAATGAGTGAACAGTACTTTTAGCCATTGCTTTTTAGTAAAGCGAATAGGCCCAAAGTTCAGATTTTTAGTTATTTTTAAACTAGGCCAAAATTCAGGGTGTTACACCAAGAGTACAGGAGGAATTAGTACACATATGTAGCTCTGAAACGGCTCAACCATTCCTGGCTCTGTCGGTGTTCAGTAATCTCGCCTAATCGAGTAATCGGTAGCAAATAGCAACCGCATGCTGTATTCATACTAGTATTATGATTTACTCTCTGAAAATGTTTCAGATATATGACGAATACGTACGCCGCAAGTGTTGAGGAGTTCATAAGAACTGAACATTACTATTGCATGTTAAAGATGGCAAACTTATGAGCATTGCTGTGGCCATCCAGGGTTGCATGAGTAAGCATTGAGTTTATCTGTTCTTAAGTTATTACCTTTCTGATGATGTGCCATGAGATGTTGGCAGGACCAACACAGGCAGGCAACACCTAGCCGTCAATGGCCGGAGCAAGGAACAGCAACACAGTCCCAGTGCCCATGGCCCCATGTGGAAATCCGTCACAGATGGCAACGCGGGCGTGGTTACGTACCCATCTTGACCGGCCGCCTGCAATTAATGACGTGGCGCGTACCCATCTTTTATCTTTCCGGAAGAACCCAGACGTGGCGCACCGACGCAGCAGAGCGCACTGCACACGTCCCGCCCGCGCCCGTCGCTACGTGTAATGTTCCCACGGGGCTCGGGGCTTCCAATCCATTCATGCATGCCCACGTACCCCCCCTGCCATGGCGCCCAGATCCTAATCCCTTCGCCGTCCTGCCGCCTATAAATGGCGGCGTCGACCTTCACCAGCTTCGCCACCGGTGAGCCACAGCGAGAACACGAAGATCACACAAGCACACAGGCATAGCTCTAGCTTAGCCTAGGGAGAAACCACCAAACCGTGCAGCCATGGAGTACGGTCAGCAGGGACAGCACGGCCACGGCACCACGGGCCGTGTGGACCAGTACGGCAACCCAGTCGGCGGCGTCGAGCACGGCACCACCGGAACCGGCGGCATGGGGTACGGTACAGGAACCGGAACCGGCGGCGCTGGCATGGGTGGTGGGCAGTTCCAGCCAGCGAGGGAGGAGCACAAGACCGGCGGCATCCTGCATCGCTCCGGCAGCTCCAGCTCCAGCTCGGTAATTACTTGGATTTTTTTTTCTTTGTCTGTTCTATATACGCTGCTTCATGGTGCTAAATCTTATAATATGGTTTTGTGAAAGTCTGAGGACGACGGCATGGGCGGAAGGAGGAAGAAGGGAATCAAGGACAAGATCAAGGAGAAGCTGCCCGGAGGCCACAAGGACAACCAGCACGCCACGGCGACCGGCGGCGCCTACGGGCAGCAGCAGGGACCCGGAGGCCACAAGGACAACCAGCACGCCACGGCGACCGGCGGCGCCTACGGGCAGCAGCAGGGACACACCGGCGGAACCACCGGCGGCGGAACCTACGGTACCGAGGGCACCGGCGAGAAGAAAGGCATCATGGACAAGATCAAGGAGAAGCTGCCCGGACAGCACTAATCGTCCGGCGTGTGAAAGCCGTACTTAATTACGGTCACTGTGTTCCGTAGATAATAAGATGAACCCGGGCTTGAATAAGTGTCCCTACCCTTAATCACGACCGCTCGTGTGACAGGGACAGTTTCAGCTTTTTGTGTGGTGTGAGTTTGTATGTGTGTAACTTGGTCCGTGTACTGTTTATGTTGTGCATGCTACATCGTTTTTCTTCATAAAAGTATTATGAGCTTTGTCATGGTACTCGACAGGAACCCGCGTGGTTCCTCCCGTGGAATAATTGTTGGGCCGTAAAAAATACGTAGGATAATTAAAAGTATGGGTAATACGACCGGGACCGGCTGGTGGCGGTGAATCCGCGCCGGCGCCGGCGAATTGAATTCCGGCGGCGAATCCCCTCCTCTGGTCTTGTATCGAGCCCTCGGCGTCTGCGCCTCCTCCATCTCGTTGCCATTCTCGACGGCCGCTGATCCAACGGTCCAACACCGGGCTTGCCCAACAGCCCAAGCTTGCACACAAGCTGCTCGATGATTTGCGGCAACCAGTGAGTGGCAAACGGAACTGCAGCCATGGGTGTCTCCGGGCGTTCTCTGCAGCACCCTCCCTCCCCCGTCGCCGGGGCGATCACCACCATCGCCGGTGAAACATCCCCCTACTGCTGATCGCCTGCCCGTGCGCCCACATGGGGTCACCCTCCGACCTCGCTTCTCGTCTGGACTTCTCCATCGGGCGCAAGTTCGAGGAGGACGTGGATCGTCGCTTTGGTACCTTGGTACACCATTCTCCCCCCGCGGCTGATGGATCTTTCTTCCTGCTGGCCACTTTTCGCCGTTTCCTGTTTCGGTTGACCGAGGATTCCGTCTCCTTGGCTCTTTAATCTTGTTTGGGTGGTCGTGCTGCTGGTTTTCATGTTCAATTCTTAAGCACCAACCACTTTCGGTTCTCTGTTTCCTGCAAACAAGTTGGGTTCCATGTGTATCGTCTCCGTCGTGTGATTACATCTCAGTTTGATATCTATTTTCATTTATGGAGCAATGGCACGCCCAATTGGGAAAGAGAAAAACGTCTCTGGGAGGAGGAACAAGAAAGAGAGTGGTCTACTGTTCTCTATAAGAGCACCAAGAAATCGATCAAAAAGGCGAACAATAAGCGTGTTTCTTTTGCAAAAAATCTGGTCCAGAAGCCTCCGAGACAACCTGCTCAGCCTCCTGGTGTGATCCAATTTGGTTCTTTTTTTTTCCTCTCCCAAAGGCTCATACGGAATTCGATTTGCTACCTCTTGCCTTCGTTGGGGACAAATTTGATTTTCATCTTGCTCGCGGCCGTGTTCTTCGCGACAGTTCGCAGCTGCATGCCCGTTCACCCGATGCTAAGCATGCGGCGGACCCTCTGGAGGACAACAGTTCCATTTCAAATTTCAATCTGGGCTGTAGCCGTTGTCTGGGTATTGGCCATGCGCGTGCCTCATGTCCCAACAAAATCAGATGCCTGGCCTGTTTCAACTATGGTCACGTTCAGAGGAGATGTCTCACCATGGCCCGTCCCAAACTAGTCTGGATTCGGAAGGCAACTCCATCAGATCGTTTTGATTGCCAAAATCCCCTCGATTCGTGCACCGTCGATGCTAAGAAACCGGACTCGGCACCAACTGTTGAGGGAGTTGATCAGAACCAGCCAGAAGCGCCTCCTGAAGTTGAACAACAGGCAGTCCTGCAGCACACAGTTTTACCACAGAATCTCATGGATGTTGAGCACTCTGGATCCTTCATGAAATTTCTCAGAGCCAGTGGTCCTGTAATTCCGGTCGATCAAGTGATTGAACTCTCAGATGGTGACAGCTCTTCATCCAGTGATGCAACATCACCCCTAGTTGATGAGGAGGCTCTTAAATTCATGGTGGCCAACAAGCTTTGTGCAGATCAACTGTTCTGTAGTAGTAATGGACTGCTAGATGGCTTCACCATGAGTGCCACCTACCCTCTGCTCCTAAATGGTCCCAATGCTATCTCAGTTCAGTTGCCAGCTACAGCGAGTACAATTGTGCTTGACAAAAGTATATTCAGCACACAGAGATCAGATGAGGCTTTTGTTCCTAATGGCTTCGATTTGGTGCCCTGGAGACCAGTGGTTCATGCTGTCATGCTCAAGGTTCTAGCAGAAAACCTGCAACGCAGGGAGGTCTCCACCGTCATCCCCACTGTGCAGACTGCAACACATCTCCAAAACGATGGGCTGAATGCTATATCTTTTAACTTGGGAGATGGAGCCCAAGGTCCAGGGTCTTCTGGCCTAGCTGCATTTCAAATGGACCAGTTTAAACCCAGCCCACCAGCTCTTAGGGGCCAAAACGAGATGTCGGTCAGAGCACAAAATGTCATCTCTTTGCCAACAACAGTCTCAAATCCATCTAGCCCACTGGTTGAGGGAAATGTCAATGATGGTTTCTGCCCAGTAAGACTGAGCAAAGTACAAATCGCCAAAGATTGTGGCAAAGATGGCGCAAACCTCGTCAAGATGTTGCTGCTCGGTGCCAACCCTCCTCCGATCCTTGATGAAGGAGGAATCGTCCACGATGTCCAATCGGCCCATCAAACTTGAAATTTCAAAGCGAGGAGATAAGGCCCAGCCCGATTGCAGCAAGGGGGCGAATGACAAGTGATGTCAGCGGAAAAGAAAAACATGTGTCTCCCCGAGGTGGCTTCAAGCAAAGTGATGCTCGCACCCCACTAGCTCGTAAAAGTGTTCGTAGCGTAGCTGAGGCGTGCTAACAAGTGAAGGTTTTTGTGAAGTCCGAATTGACAAAGAGCCCTCCAAGAGATGCAAGAATTGGCTCGTTCAGATTGATGAGGCTACTGGGCAGTCTGGCCCGCTCTCTATTTCAGTTCTACAAGGTTGGGGGGTGAAGTGCGGTGTGGATCCTAGCGATCTCACCGAGGATGCGCTGCTACTGAGCGCTTCTCTGCAGAGTTCCAAATGAAGAAAATGAATGAGCTTCTCTCTGCAGCACCTGGGGTGCTGTTTGTCTTTTGTTTCTCTCTGCAGCACCGCCATCGAACTATATTTCTATGTGTGCCATGATCAGCTCTGTTTTTCTATCTGTCATCATGTGTACTTCTTGTCTGATGATCCTGGTGACATCGGAACCTCTCTCCCCTCAATCCGTTTATCCCAATGAGTACACATAATTGGCATATACTTTGTTGGAATATTCGTGGGATCAATGCATCGGAAAAGTGGGATGCGGTTAGGGAAAAGATAGAGGAAAGCTCGTGCTCGGTTATCTGCCTTCAAGAAACGAAGCGTGAGCACTTTGATGCTTCTTATATCAGAAAATTTGCACCGAGACGCTTTGATAGTTTTGATTTCATCCCCTCAGTTGGTGCTTCGGGAGGTATTTTGGTGGTGGAGCAAGGCACGGTCTTTAGGGAAACGCGTCTTTGGACAGCAAACGTTTTGGCATAACACTATCCTTCACCTCCATGCAAAACAATGATGTCTAGAAGCTAACCACGGTCTATGGACCTTGTGACGAGCCTGCACGTTCGAATTCATTTCTTGGTTTCGGGACATGCCATTCTTGATTCTCGATAATTGGATCTTCACGGGAGATTTTAATTTCTATAGAACATTGAATAATCATAACAGTTCGGAGGTAACTTAGTCGACACTCTTATTTTCAACGATGCAATTGGTCATTTGGGGCTTGTTGAATTACCTTTGAAAGGCCGAGCCTACACGGAGCAACATGCGTTAGATCCACTTTTGGAACAGCTAGATTGGTTCTTTACTTCACCAAATTGGACGGTTGAATTTCCAAACATCGAGGTTCTTCCCTTGGGCGAATCACCTCCGATCATGTCCCCAATCGATTGTAATTAGCACCAGTGATTCCCGAGCAAATATTTTTCGTTTTGAGACCTTTTGGGTAGAGCAACATGATTTTGTTGACACGGTGAATGAATGTTGGAACTCGGTTGCTCATATATCGAGATCTTTGCCAGGGCAATATCTAGTAAATTCAAAGCCCTCAGATCAAGACTGAGGGAGTGGAGCAAGCACCTTTCCAACCTTAGGCTCTACATTGATAATTGCAATACAGGTCATCACTTTTTGGATCTATTAGAGGATAGAAGGGCCCTGTATAACCTGAAGCAAATCTCAAGGCCATTGTCAAAAAGCAGCTCAAAACTTGGCTCCATTACAAGAATCTATCTTTGGAGGAAAAGATATATCATCAATAGAATCAAATTTGGTGATGAATGTACAAAATTCTTTCATGGTATGGCAACAATATCTTATCGAAGAAACTCCATCTCACGGTGAGGAATGAGCATGGTATCCGGATTCAAAACCATGAGGGGAAAGCTGGATCATTATGGTCGTCATTTAGGAACCGTATGGGTATGACCTCATCTCATGTTATGCTTTTTGACTGGCAAGTCTCATTACCCCAGGTTGATGATTTAGAAAGCTTGGTTCCCACCTTTTGCACTACTGAAATCGACACCATAGTCAAGCACATGCCATCAGATAAAGCGCCCGGGCCGGACGGTTTTAACGGCCTCTTCCTCAAAAAATGTTGGCAACATATCAAAGGTGATTTTTATAAACTCTGTTCA